AGAAACGACAGAACTGAAACAACAGCTTTGGTGATCTTAATCGCCAACTTCTTGATCCTAGGAGGCTTGGCTAATCGACGACGACGCAACTTCTTCGCCGGCTCTAACTTATAGGAATTGAGGAAAATCCTTCTATGCTTGGCTCGCTCGTTTCTGTAGCTTCGAGAATAAGGCATTCGATGAGACTCTTTCTTGCGCTTAGAGAAGGCTCTCCAGCCAGGCTGATGATGATGATGATCGTGATCATGATCCAACGGCTCGTAGCCGTCGAATCGGCGGCTGAGACTCGCCGTCGTGCTTCGGACGAGGGTGTTCATCTTTACTAGTTGAGTTTGGTTTTTGGGAGAACACTTTTTGATGCCTGCTCTTTTATACAGAGAGCAAAACGGGGTTTTTTTTTTTTTTCTTTTTTCTTTTTTTACACGTTTCTTTAATTATATTTGTTCTAGATTTTAAACAACCCTTGACTGTTATTTCTACGTTTTTCTTCCTTGGCGGGCGCTGATAGTCAACATTTTCTAAGAAGCAATAGACATTAGACAACATTGCTCCTTTTAAAAAAAAAAAAAATAAAAAAAATTTCTCCTTTTAAAAAAAAAAAAAAAAAAAAAAAAAAAAAAAGGAGACAACGTTGCTTAAATAACAACATTAATAATGCCCACCAACTAAGATCATTTCAGTGTGAGTTATGGGGACAGATTTTAGGATTGCTATGCCGTAGGTACTACACGTGGCACATAATCGTTGGTTACCATATTAGGGCGTTATTGTAAAAACATCTATAATGTAGTACTAAATTAATATGCCTATGCTAAATTTTAACAATTGAATAGAAAAATCACTCTCCCATATAATGTTTTTTTTTCCTAAATTTAATATTTGTCATATTTGGTACTCAAATATAGCATATACCAAATATAATACTTATTATTGTAAAAACATCTATAATGTAGTACTAAATTAATATGCCTATGCTAAATTTTAACAATTGAATAGAAAAATCACTCTCCCATATTTTTTTTTTCCTAAATTTAATATTTGTCATATTTGGTACTCAAATATAGCATATACCAAATGTAATACTTATAGGGTATCATACAAAATTGCTACAATTACATATCAAGCCGTTAAAATTTTAATTGAACGATTCAAACAAACAATACTTATTGGTAATATAAAAGAATACGTGAAAATTTCTTTCTTTTCTACATAAATATATAATCGAGTTTAATTTACTTCTTCATTTAAGTTTTGAAAATTATGAACTTTGTATAGTAGTATAGTTAGACTTGATTTATTTGGGAATTCAAATTTCATAATAATAAGTATACTTAAACATCAAAACTCGAGTCTTAATCAAAATTTTTTAAAAATTTCGTATCAATTTTATACAATTAGAAGATTTTTTTTCAGCAGGAGAAGATATCAGAAAATTGGTCCAAAATTTTTTAATGGGATATTTACTTTTTTACACCTTGTGTTTTGGATTTATTTAAAAACTATACCCTTAGTTTTTTATCTCATCAAATATATACCTTCAAATTAGATTTAATACTCAATTTATACATTTGCACAACTAATCATTGATTTTAACCTTAGAAATATCTAAAATACCCTTGAATAAAAAATAGAAAAAGAAAAAAAAACTAAAAAACCTTAAACTTATAGTTTTGACCTCAAAAGCATACAAAATACCATTGAAATAGACTTTTTTGTGTTCTAAATTTTTATTGTTTGTAATATTAGAAAGTTTTAGTTTCTTTTCTCTCTTTTTTTGGATAATTTGCTCATTTTAAAGGTTAAAATCAATTATTGACTGAAATAAGGTATAGATTCGTATATTAATTAAATTTAATTTAAAAATATACATTTAATAAGATTAAAAACTGAAGGCATACATTTTAAATAAACTTAAAACACATAGTATAAAACTATAAATATCCCATTTTTAATTAATGCAAAATTTTCATGGAGCCTACAGGGTTAGGGGAGGCAGCCTCTCTTACTAGTAGATAAATTCGGATCCCGCTACCATGACATTTTATCTAAAGCAAAAATTATTTTTCTTGATTACACCATGCTTTCCAACACTTCAACATAGAGGTGTAAGTTTGGCCCGCTCAATCCGACCCGGGCCGGTAGCCTAGAGAGATATTTTGGACCGGCCTGACCCGACTCGAAATTTTATAAGATATTTTAACAAAAATCTGAAAAAATATGATGTTCGGGCCGACCCAGTCCTAAAGGAGAAAAGATCGGCCCAACCCGGCCCAGTATTAAAGGAGAAATGATCGGCCCAATCCAGTCTTAAGCTCAAAAAATTTAAGGTCGGACCAGACCAGACTAACAATAACGGGTCTCGAATTGGCCCATTTAGCCCGACCCAACTTGTAGCTCTACTTCAACATTATTAACCTTTGAAAATGATATTTCTTTTTTTTTTAATATATCAAAGTTACTATAACTCAATTATTTCAAAATTAAAGTGGACCCTCTAAGAGAATGAAGGATCTCTTGACATTTCCAATCTTGTGTTGTTTCTTTGACTTCCGAATGGTGTATAGGTAGTGTACGGCACAGACGATAAAATAAACCACAAAAGCCACAAGCAATAATTTGCGTACAACGGAAGGAAACAGGAAAATAGAGGTAAGACGACGAGCGTTAAGAACAAGAGATTATAATCCCGAAGCTATCTATCTTTATTGACCAGTGACCAAAATATTTTATTTTTGGTCAGCATTTATTGAACTTGTCACTTCGCAAGCAGAACATTGAAGTTCGTTGAAATTGCTCGAGTTTGGAAGCCAAAAATGAATAATGTCATCAGTTTTCTCAAGGCAATAAACAAAAACGAGAATTATTTTTACGGAAGGAACGACTCGTATTATCAATAACAAAATAGAAGTTGTTATTTTGACTGGTGGATTAATGTTTTAAAGCTCTAATTTATGAGTGTTTATGTTGAAAATTTACGTACGCGACACACAATTAATTTCATTCATTGATCAGATGCTAAAAATATAGAGAGAAAATTAAAAATGCTATCATTAAAATAATAATATTTTATTTTTATCATTGTTGTAAATTTATCTCATATCACTAATAATTTATAAGTTATTTTCTCATAATTTATAAGTTATTTTTCGTAATCTGTAGGTTATCTTTTTATAACCTGTATATTATTTTACACAATGACGTTAAAATTTTGTGTAGAGACATAAATAATAAAATTAAAAAAATAATGATTAAACTTACAATTTTCTAAAAAAAATTAATTTAACCACTAAAATAACTGTATCTAGTATTACTGGAAATAGTTCCATCGTAGAAATCCTCAAATTACTTGTAAGTGAGAAGTATGACTTTCTAGCACAAGTAAAGAAAGTGAACATGGAATTTATTTAGTCTAGAGGATTGTCTAAAATTAATTAAAGAGAGATCAAATCCAATACGTTTTTCTCTCGCAATAATGCGAAAAGAATTTTGGGGTCAACAATAAACATATAAAATAATGACCACCCTGATTATCAAACAAATCAGAGTTTCAATTTGACTGGGCTTCTAGAAATTAGGTTGAGTAAGATGTGCAGAACTATAATAGCAATTGCAGGCCTTATTATTATTAATTTTTATTAACTAAAATAGCTGTTAAATGAAAGAGATATCATGCTACCCTTCACATTGTACACGAAGGACCATATTGTAATTCGATAAAGATATATATACATATATATTTTTTGATGAGGCTCTCGCCCTTCCCCCAAACTTGTTTTTATAAATAAAAAAGAGATCAATGATGTTCTCATGTCCCAAGCGTAGCAGCCAATTAACAATTTATCATAGACCCATTTATTTTATTGATTTGAGTTTAAAATTTAAATTTTATTATAATAAAAAATTTAAAAAAATAGTCACATTTAACTTTTTTATTACAGTAAAAAGTTCTCATATCTCAACTCGAATTAACGAACTAAACGGGCCTTGAGATTAATGATAAAGAAAAAAGAAACTTAATTCATGCTTTCCTCGACTCTCTCCCTAAAAACAAACTTAGGGGACGTTTGGTTAGAGGATTCAAACCATGATTTGAATCATGGTTCATGATTTGCTACAGTATTTTTTCTCATAAAAAATACACGTAAATTGAAAATAATTCTAATCACATGATTCCAATCCATGAACCAAACGTCTCTTTAATTCATGCTTTCCTCGACTTTCTCCTTTCTAATTAGGTAAACTTACGTGCTAAGATTTGCTTTCATTTGGCACTTTTTGGTCCCATGCTCATTCTTGTTTTGGGAAGACCCTCCGCAAAAATTTTATGTAGAGAGATGGATTGATTTTTCGTTTTGTCTTTTTTTTTTTAAATAAGAATTTTAAAATATACTAATCCTCTAATTCATTACAGCAGGAAATTAGGGAAAAAAATGTCGGTCAACTTGTGGAGCAAAAGCTTATTTGGATGACTTGCATATTGGACCAACTAGTTAGCTAGGAGAACCATGTTTGTACAAAGAGAGGAGAGTTTTTTTTCTTCTTCTTTTTAAAAAAAAAAAAAAAGAAAAATAGAGGGGGAAGTGTTGTTAAGTGGCTTGGACTCCTAAGCCGCACACCCACATTACAGCAAACAGCAGTCAACTTCTGATTCTTTTTTTTTTTTTTCTTTTTTTTCTTTTTTTGGCGTAATTGAAAGGAGAGAGATTATCTTACATTGATGCAAAACAAAAATTAAGTAATATGGCCCAAAAAGTTCTTATATATATATAAAAAAAAAAAAAAAGAACAAGAAGCGCCGCACACACTCACAGGCTAAATCAGGTTACGTACTATCCACTGTCTAACTCTCTGATTAAAAATTGATAATGAACCACCTTATAACAAAGAAATAATCTTGAGAGGAGAAAAATAATGAAAGGAAGAAAAGAAAGGCTACCACTTTACACACATTGAACTAATGAGGTCAAAGAAGTTGAAATATAATGAAGCTTTTTTTTTTTTTTTTTTTTGAAAGTATGAAATATAATGAATTAGCTAGCTAAGGAACTGGGTATGACTTGTTTCTGCACATGCACTTGTAGGCCATAGGACAAGTCTCAGCCTCGGCCACAGAAGCACAAACGAAGCTCACCATCACTAGTCTACATGGCGAGCATGACCCACAAGCATGCGAACAATCGGGCAATCTCGACCCTGCAACCTGAACTGTACTGTGATCCTGACCAGCCGCCCTAGTTCTCTTCATTATTTGCCTTCTCTCTCTATGATCCCAGTACAACTTCTCTTGCACTACTTTGTTATTATTAGCCACTTTGCCGGTACTACTCCCACTTATTATCATCCTACGCTTTGCCGAGTGACGACCTGTTTAATTAATCAACATAAAATTTATTATTATTATAACATTGACAAAAAAAAATAAATTACATATCTTATGTACAGAGGTCCCACGTTATTTAAATATAACAATAAAATGTGCATACTGATCACCTCACTAAATAGGTTCAAGATAGTTCAAAAATAAACCCAAATATTCTATTTGTGTCCTCGCGCATATATATATATATATATAGAGAGAGAGAGAGAGAGAGAGAGAGAGAGAGAGAAATACCTGCTATGTTCCTAGTAGACATAGCAGCAGGGACTAATAGGGCAAAAATGATCACAAGTGCAGTCAGACGAAAAAAACCCTTCATGGCTCCAAAGTACTAACTCTTTTTTTCCCCAGATATATGTTGTTCTTTCTTTTTATCTCTCAAGTTGTGATGAGCTTGGAAGAAGCGGACGGATGATCAGGTTTGAGAAGTAGAGGAATATATATACATGCAAATCAAGACCTAAAGAAGAGTATTGTAGCGAATCACAGGCAGGCGTACGTAAGAGTGTAACGATATGGAGTGTGATTATGAGAGAGAGAGAGAGAGAGAGATCACATGAAAGAGAGGGTTCGAAACAAAGGTTAGTCACAGGACTGATCGAGTGCTAATTAGCTGTTTTGTGTGGTTCCATGGAAGAAGGGTGATATCATATATTCATACGGTTGTGAAAGGAATTTACGGTATTAAAAAGGCTTTTCTTTTACGTGAAACTCTGTCCCGGACTTTAGCTCCGCATTGATGATGGATATAAATGCTAAACGGGCTTTAATTTGTAGAATTTTGTTTAATTTCCCTTTTCTTTTTTTTTTTTTTGGGGAAAAAAAAGTAGATTTATGAGATAATAAATTGCGTACTGATGTTCTGATGTGACTGCCATTAATATTTCCCGGCCACACCTTCTAATAGATATGGAGTAAAAGCTCCGTTCAACAGTTACGCAGTTTCAGACGTTTCCCATTCATAAAAATAGAAAACATGAGTACTTTTCTTGCTTGGAAAAACTAGAAATTATAAAACCGCACATACTCATTTCAGTCTTTGCCAAACCCAGGTCACACCCGACGAGCCTGTATTCTACCGCCTTACAAGTTATCGATATCATTAACTGGTATATCCAGCTGAAAACAACAAAGAAACAAAAAATGAATTTTGTGAAAAGTTATGAAAAAAAAATTCTGTCCATATTGCGTCAAATTTTATTATTAATTGTAATGAACAATTTATATTTATATTGAAATAGAAATATGTAAAGTGTAACAAATTTGGATTTTTTTTATATACCCTACTAAAAAAAATTATTTAATAAACAAAAAAAAAATCAATCATATTTAGAGCTGTTTGGAATGGCTCTTCTGGTTTTTGACTTTTATTTGCTCTTATAAAATAAGCCAAGTTTTTGGTACTCGTGAAAAAAAGAGTTTATGAAAAGCTTATAAATATTTTTCACCTTTTACTTAGGAATAACAAATTTAAAATGCCACCCGGTGCAATGTTGTTGCAGATTTGATGAGTCCCTCTCGGCGCAACGCTTTTTGGTAAGGCTGTTCATAAACCTGTAAAACAAGGAGGCCCAACCACCCCATCTTAACCCAATTTAAAAAATAGAGAAAGAGAAAAATAGGCTAAGACTTGAGATGAATTAAAATTAATAGGTCAATAGTTTACATAAGTTAATAAATGGGCCAAATTACTATTTTCGTCCATAACTTGTCTGGTTATGAACTTGACAAGTTATTGTCTATAATTGTCCATAATTTGTCTGGTTATGAACCATAACTTAACAAGTTTGTCCATAACTTATCTGGTTATAAACCATAACTTGACAAGTTATGACCTATTAATTTCTATAACTAAAAATTAGCCTATATACTTTCTTAAGCTTTTCATATTGGCCTATTTTCTACTATTTCCCTTTAAAAAATATAATTTCTAAAATTAAATTTTTTTTCAGCCCATTTAATGTCTAGTCCTAAGTTTTGGTGGGTTGGGCCTATAATGGCCCGCACACTCCAATTTAATCTGCCTCTAACTTGTCTCCTCTAATATCTAACTTTAGGCATACAACTTATTTCTACTCTCTAGTTTCTTCATGTTTGAATTAAGTCTATGTTTGTTTTATGTTAAGACTAATTTATGTTTGCTTTATCTTTTATGTTGGATGGACTATTTTGCTTCATGTTTGATGTTTGATTGAACTTTGAATTTCTATCTTTTTGAATGTTAGAGTTATTATTTCTATTTGAAGATGAACTTTGAATGTGAGTCTTTGATTTTTTGAATGTTGAAACTGACCATCCAACTCACTCCGCACCGCCCCAACCCAACCCAAACATCATTGGGTTGTTAAATTTTTCTAACATCGTTGGGACTAAATATGTACAACCCGCACTCTTTGGGACGGAGAAAGAAAAAACCATATCCCGTACCAACTCAACTCATGAACAGCCTTACTTTTTGGGGCTTGTGAAAAAAAGAGTTTATGAAAAACTTGTTTATATTGTAGCAAGTGTAATTTTTACGAAATTAAAGTAAATAGCAAGATTGTAAAATATTTAAATTAAATAACGGTTGATAGAAAATTTACTATTAATAATTGATAGTATTTAACTGTAAAAATGTTATTTACTTCTTTTTTCCCTCAACAAACTCATCCTAAAATTTTACACTAGTGGTGACCTGGACGGCAACCGAAACAGGGCCCGGCTCGACGTGAAAACTGGCCCATGGGAAGTGGTGAAGTAAGCTTAGAGCGAGCTTATGTGAAAAAATTACATGATGAAAACCATGTTGAGAAATGAGAACAAATAGAAACAAAATCCATCACACGGGAGAATTCAATGATTGTTTGATCGTACAAAACTTCAAAAAGTACAGATTTTGGACCGAATTATATATATCTATATGTATATATATATATATATATATAAATGGGGCCAGCCTTAATTGACCTTACTTTGATGGTATGATGATAATGGATCGTGTTGTTCGGCACTCGTTTTTACTTTCTCCATCTTTTCGTCCCAACATTTCTCTACATGCTGTCATACTACTACACGAGGCTTACCTCGTGCAAGTAAATAGGATAAAGCCTAAGAAGACAAGTTTAAATTCTGTTATCATGTTGTAAGTTGTAACATAATTACATTTGGTTGATTTCGTTGACTATTCTTTTCCTTATTCACTTTGTTTGCCGATTTACTATCAAATATTAAACTCATTAGTGCTCGATATTGTATAACTTTATATTTATGAATTATGATCAGGTTTAAGTTGATTCTCTATCCCACTGGGGTCGTGGTGCAGTGTCTTTGCTGTCCATCCTTTTAGGATTTAATATTCCGCACTCGCGCGTTGCTGCTCCATGGGCCTCACAGGATGGAGGAGAGTAAAAACTGGTTGGATGGTCAATGAGAGACTAATTCATATCTTTTCTACATACTCAGTCGTCCTCAAAATTACTGTTATAGCCAAAGAGATTAGAGGACATGAAGTGCACCACTAAATTCCTTTTTTATTGAGAAAAAAAAAGTTGATTCTCTATTAGCTGGTTGCATGATGATAGCGTGCATAATGTAACAGTAATTGAAGCATTGAGATCATAAGTTTGAAAGCCCACTTAATTGTGTGTAAGAAAGGCGTCATTGGGAGAGTGAAGTTTTCTTATTCCTCTAAGATTTGCGATTGTTTAACTGTCTTTAAACTTCAATTTGTAACATTGTAGTTCTTGTAATTGTAAATTTACCTCTTTCTACTAAAAAAAATTGTAAATTTACTCCTATTTTCATGCTTTTATCAATTTATCACGTCAATATGAAATTAGGTGCAGATATACCGTTAGATAATAATACATGCGTTAATAAAAAAAAATTTCATCACTTTTAATCCGTATATATAAATTAAAAGATACAATCTTCAAAACCAAATTTATGAATTTACAAACTGTAATATTCATGAAACATTGATGTAGAATCACAAAATTCAAAAGTTAGGAGAGTAATTTGGGGAGGCAAGTAAAAGTAGAGGGAGCTATGGCATAGGCAGGTTTATAGGAGAAGTGAGCGGTTTGAGTTGGGAAGACAAGAGAGAGACAAGAGCAGCCTCATAAACACCTCCCCTTGTCTCTCAAAAAACGGTGTGTTTGTGTTTCTCTTACTATTCCAAAAAAAAAAAAAGGCCAATCTATCCAACAAAAACGATTATGCCATTCTTCTTCTTCTTCGTCGTCGTTTCATTTCTAAAACTGTGCCAGTCCCGGCCCCACCCAGCTACACTTTCTCCAAGTGGGCCCCACCCCCCTGACTCCATCATAACAACCAAGAAATCCCCCGTTTACCCCCATAATATCCACCGCCAAACATGTCTCCTCAGATGCCATAGCTGGTACTCTTTTTGTCTCTCCTCAACCCTTTTCTTTTCTTTGCGCATTATATTATCTCATCTGACTTTCTAACTTTGCTGCATCCTTGTCTCGTTATAGCGTCATTCAGAAAAAAACACCCTCGTCACTTTTTTCCTTTTTTTTTTTTTTTTTTTAAAAAAAAAAAAAAAAAAAAAAAAAAAAACTTTTCTTCTTTGCATTGCATGCTTTTTGTATTATGTAGTATTCATACACAATTATGGAAAAGCATCCCTTTAATTGCGCTATTAGTGATCTCTCTTACCTTTTTTTTAATGATATTGATGGCTTTTGGGCATGCACACCTATGTTTCCATATTGCAATATGTGAGAGATGAGAAAAGTGAATGAAAGTGAGAGACTTGAAAGTTGAAACAATGTTAATGATGCTAGGGTTGAAAATTATTAGGAGAGCATGGAGATGGGTGCATTCATTTTTTACCCTTTTCTTTTTAAAACCTTTTATTGTCTTATTATGCTTTTCTCTCTTTACTTTCGGTTAGAAAGGGGTGAAATATTCTCATTGTTCATTTTTTGTCCCCCCTCATGAGATTAAGGAGGCGTAGACAATGCTTTCCTTCTTGCTCTTCTCATCACAGAGTAGACCCTTATAGCTTAACAAACCTCTTCTTGTTTTGCCTAACAATTAGAGCCTCCTCTTGCTACATCATGTCTATTGTTTTTATTTATTTGTTTGTAATGCTTGCTTACATTTTGGCGCCATTACAAGATATGTATAAGCTAACTGGTACAGAAAAGCTAGCTAGCTAGCTAGCAACAATTACAAGAAATAGAAGTGTTGGATTATTTTCCATTTACTTCTTATTGTGCTCTAATATTACTAATTTAGAAGTAGTCAAATTTGTATGTTGAAAATATTTGGTTGTAGGTTGATGAGGATGAAGCTTACTGGAGACAAACCAAGGATGATGAGGAGTTGGAGTGGTCACATGATTCCTCCCACGTAATAACGCAGTTAGCTCAATGTTTTAGTGAGTAGAATTTCTTGATCCTTTTCTTTCAAATCTTTCTTGTGGTTAAACTTGGTCTTTGTTATGTCATTTTTCGTAAAAGTTCTATAGACATGTATATAACTAACTCGTATTTCTGATTGCTGACAAATGAATCAATTGCAATGTGCATAAGTTAATTGTAATGACAAAATACCATACTTGATACAAAAATTTTTTGTGGGGGCAATTAACTTTTACCCAACCCTGCATATTGGGATCTATTTTCAAACAGAGATTATTATGCAGATCTTAATGGCAGGTTGTATTTTGTGGCCCTGTTTTCACTAATTCCTTAACTACAAGTTTTAAGGATATCATAAGGGCATAGTAGCTTCTGTCAGTTATTTTTCTTGGCCTATGCTGGTCGAAGAAAACTAGGACCATAATGAGAAGTTTTCTGATCGTAAAACATTCAAGTAATATGCTAGCTGCATTGACCATTACCTTCCCAGCTATCTAACTTTACAATACATAAGTAACATATTTTTTATTTCAATTTTTGCAGCTAATGCTATGGTTGGACCACGGTCATGGTTTATAGGACTTTTTGCTCGCTCAAACAATAAGCGCAATGACAAGTACCTTGACTACACATTGAGCCCTCTTCAGGTAATAAATTTTTAGTTGTTTATAAAAAAAAAAAAAAAAATTTAAAGTAGCAAATGAGTGGCTATTATGGTGTGTACTTGTTCAAATAAACAAATTGAATGTGGCATTCATAATATTTTTAACCATAGTGAGATGTTAATGTTAGTATCCAATCTTATTCGCGTCGCCTGCTAGCATGTTAACCTGATCCTCAGTTGAAATTTTTATTGTACTCGTGAAGCTACATTGTTTTCATTTGCTACAATCGAACTTATTGTTTGAATTGTTTATAAGTTTTTAAGCTTCTTACTAGGAACAAAGGCTTCAAAGACTTCAAGAGCGATTACACGTGCCATTTGACGAGACTCGTCCCGATCACCAAGTATGTTCTCTCTGCTGTGCTTAATCTTTCTCCATCATTTGCTTTATGCTTCCTTTTGTCCATCTGAAATCTTAGCTATTTTCCAAAAACTATGTTAGAAATCATCTCTAAATATACACCATTTTACAAGTTTTCTTTTGCATCGATACTCATTTCAATATCCTCGTTTTCCTTTTCTCTGTTTGGTCCAAATTCATATTTTAATGAGTGTTCAACTTAATATTGACCGGTCTCTTCTATATTTAATAACAGGAAGCCTTGAGAGCATTGTGGTTTGCTGCCTTTCCAGATATTGCTCTAAAAGGGTTGATCTCTGAGCAATGGAAAGATATGGGATGGCAAGGTCCTAATCCGTCGACCGACTTCAGGTAGTATAGTTCTACCATGTTAAATGCTTATTTTTGTAACAACTGTACCTGCATTTTTTTTGTGCTACATATATTTGTTGTCTTCATAGTCATTTATTTCCACTACTAGAGCAGAGTTACAATAAAGAAAGAATGATGAAATTTTATTTTACTTCTTTTGACATAATGTTCTGGCTTTTCAATTGAGAAGCATCTTTCCTCACAGTGAATTGCTGTACGTAGGGGTTGCGGATATATTTCCCTCGAGAATTTGTTATTTTTTGCCAGGACTTATCCGGTACGCGGCATTTACTTTGTTCTTGTAATTCTTTTAAGCCCTTGTGCATTTCGATTTCAGTCTTTCTAGTTTCTCTAATTCATGAACTAGTGCAGAAGATGAGTTATTACTAATTAACTAAAATTCAAAATCAAGGCATCTTTTCGTAGGTTATTGTTCAAGCAAGACGGGAAGCGAGCAACATGGGAGTATCCATTTGCTGTTGCGGGAATAAATGTATCATTTATGTTGATTCAGATGCTGGATCTATATTCAGGTGTGTGTGTGTGTAATTCGTATAATAGAACTTTCGTCTTTTACTTAGTTGCAAAACTTCTTTAAAGTTCATAAACTAGATCCTTTGGTACACGTGTTTGTCGCTCTTGAACATATCTTCTTCCCTGTTCTGCAGCAAAACCAAAATGCATTCCCGGTATCAATTTCATGAGATTATTAGGAGGTAATAAAGAACACAAGTACTTACCATGTTATTATATGCGTCTCTTTCGATTGATCAAAAGGCCGTATACTTTCAAATCTCTTGGAACGAATAATTCGCATTTTGGTTTTTTAATTCTACAATTGCAGAAGATGAAGAAGCATTTGATGTACTATACTGTATAGCATTTGAGATGATGGACGCTCAGTGGCTTGCCATGCATGCTTCTTACATGGAATTTAACGTAATCTCTCTCTAAATGATCATTTATCAGAACATATAGGGCTCGTTTGTTTCATATATTCAAACTCAAATTATTGATTCTGCTACAACGTTTTCCTCTCACAAAAAAATTGAATTTCAAACGTCAGAATTAAGAATTATAGTTTAAGTATACTTTCTAAACGGGCTTTGGATTTCTATTCACTTCAAATCACTTTTAACTTTTTGCTGCTTTGAAATGTTTTCAGGACGTTTTACAAGTCACGAGGACACAATTGGAAAGAGAGCTGTCTTTAGAAGACATTCACAGAGTACAAGATTTACCAGCTTACAATCTCTTGTACCAATAGCTTTGTGAGCGCCTCTCAGGACACCATGAGAATGATTGTTAATTTGATATGTTACAATTAACATAGCAAAGTTCTTCACTATATATATGTATGAAAATGTGTCATGTCCAGAGGTTTTTATAGCTCAGATGGTACACAGAACGTCTACACAATGATGAGGAATGTAAAATTTTTTAGTTATAATTGTGGAGCTATCTGATAATTAGTGATTAATTTAGGATTCGATTGTACTATTCTGTGTATCAGCAGAGTTGGTCAAAATTTTCAGGCCATGGCAGTTGAAGGAACGAAATTGAAAAATAAAAAATAAAAAAAGAAACAAAAAGCATTTTCAATGTCAACGGCCACAAAGTATAAAACCAATTACTTTCAATATTAGTATGCACGAATTTCATTTTGACAATTTATATTCACTTTTAAAAGTCTAATGAAAAAGAAAAAAAAGTATCTATTTACAAAAAAGAATCTAAAAGAATAAACATAGATCTGAAATAAAAATCAGATTATGTCACACAATCAAATCTCATTATTTTCTTTTTAGAATTAACTTTTTCCCTATATTTGTTTGTTATTTTTTTTAATGATTATTATCCATGTTAAAACCCTCGTGTGTCATCTTTATAAATTTTTCGGCATGGGCGACAACGTTGCTGTGGGACTTTGTCTTTGTCGTGTCAAGGAGCTTGGTTGCTAGGGTTTTCAATACACATTATTTGGAGCAATAAATTAATAGCCAAAACAAAAGCATAATTAGATATATGGTTGAGATTATTCTAGATATATTTTGTCATTTTACACTAAAATTTAATAAAGTTAATTTAAAGAGTGTTGATAATCAAGAGATTGTCTTTCTAATTGAGCCAAAACATAAGCGGCATAAGTAGAGGCTATAGCTGGAGTCTCATCAAAGTAAACAATTGTGATTTAACCAATAAAGAAATCTGTTGGTCAAATAAATTATGTAACAAAATAAATATTATACGCTTTTCCTTTTCCATTTATAATAACAAAAATATACTTGGGCTATCTGCTTTTTTTTTCCTTTTTTTTAAATAATAAATAAAGATAAAAATAACGAATTTGATTGATACCTTTGGATTAGTAGAAGCACACACTAAAAAGGAAACTTGATTAATTAATTGGTAGGCAATTGAATTATATATAATATAATAAGTCCGGATATATCACAGCTATCTCAAATTACTTTCATTTTTCTTTCTTTTGCCTTATTAAAAAAAAAAAAAAAAATTTCTTTCTGTGTTTCTCATTTCTCAACCGATTGGATGCCTTAGTTGAATTTGTGCTAGGTTTTTGTATCTTTCACTTTCAGAGAATGATATAAATATACAATTCTGATTAACCATTTAACTCATTATAAACAAATCTTTATGGAAATTTAACCAAATTTTATTAGTCATCATTACGTATTTATGACTATCGCCTTATAATGTCGTTTTCTTTACTAAGCTGATGTTACATCGATGTGGTGTGTAACTGTGTATGAATAATTGGCTTCAGTGTTAAAGTAAAATATTGGCAAACACGAAGACAGAACGAGGAAAACAAAACTACAACAAGAAAAAACATATATTTCAGTGTATATATAATATATTCTCAGAAGAAAACTCATAATCAAACGATTAATGTCAAAAGGAAAAGCAAGTACATTCCTTTGGGTCAAAAATAACCGGTTCAATGTTCAATCAATTGACTTTTCCATGCTGTCTAAAAAGAAATTTCTTTTAAATTTTCCTTTATACCCCCTTTTATTGAGTAATGCTGACCTCTAGGAGCAATAATATATAGAGGTAAATGGCCTTTTTCTTAAGGATTTTTTTTTTAAAAGTAGTAAAATCGTCATTTCTTTTATTAATTAAATACTCAATCACTGATTGATTAGCAGTCAATTACGGATTGATTTAAGTTTATCACTGATTAACTTAATTATTTTTTATTATTAATCAATATTAATTAATAATTAGTCAAAATTAATTAGTAATTAATCAATTTCAATTAACAAATTACATGTTTACTAATGATAAATCATTGATAAATTATAATAATGAACAAGTCAATCGGTCAATCAGGTCAATTATTGATTAATTATTGAAAAATACCATTTTGTTAAAAATAAAAAAAGTTTGGCCACTTATTTAAAAAATAAAAAATTCAGTCATTTATTAAAAAATATAGTAAAAAAAAAGTGGTTTACCTAATTTTCTCTAGAATATATAAAGATATTATCTCCCTCGAAAATTGAAAAAATATATAAAATATTCTTTTTTTTTTTATGCTATGAAATTGTAAGTGCGGTCTTCTAGAAAAAAATTGATTCTCACGTGTTACAATTCATTGTCGATATTGATTTTTATTTAAAGTTCTTTTTGTTTTGCTTATTTTTGCCACTCATTATCTCAATGTTAATTTATTATGTTTCATCCAAAAAGCAAAAATCATGGACTCAATAATCAGCCGCAAGATATGGCAGTACCACTTTCTAAGTTACATAATTATCACTGAGAAAGATGAAATACCACACCACACTATTGCTATATTTGAGTACTACTTTTTCTTGAATAATCCAAAGCCTCTTTCCCACACCCTTCTTACCAAACTTGACGTGGACTCTTTATTTTTATATATATTTTTTTAAATAAATTGCATGTAAGGTAAGGGTATGACTCTTTTGTTTTTTTTTTTTTATACAACATTTTCGAGAATTATATATGTGCAAGCATACGAAGTAAAATGCAAATCTAAGTCGTTAAAATTAAGATAATTTGAAAAATAAAATGACAGTTGAAAAACTGTATCTTTTATCTTAGCCTAGAATTCTCAATAACATGTATATATACGTACGTCACTGATTGCGCTTATCCTATCATTTTAATATTTATCTCCTCGTCTGGTTTTCAATTGGACTTTTTGTATTATTTGTGCAGTTGTTGCCAAAAAAAAAAACAAAAACGCATATCAAAGTAAATTATAAATTCAACTTTTTTTAGCATTGCCGTCACATCACTACTTCCTCCAATTATCGTGACATGATATCACCTCCACAAGTATTTTATGCAATGAGTGCATATTCATAATAATCATCACTCCAGCTATTATTAAAGATCAGGAAATCTCACCGAGAAAGAACTAAAAAAAAAAAAAAAAAGATTATCAGAAATTAACTGCATTAATGGAATCAGACGAGGCAAGTTTGAGAGGCCAAGCGGAGATATGGAAGTACATGTTCAACTTTGCGGATTCCTTGGCCTTGAGATGCGCTGTGGAGCTCAAAATTCCCGACATCATTAACTCCCACGGCGGCCCAATAACTCTGGCCCAAATAGCCTCCTCCATTCCCAACACTTCCTCTGATCCGGACATCTCGTGCCTCGCGCGCATCATGCGCCTCCTGGTCCGCCGAAAGATCTTCACCGCCCACCAACCATCGGACGGCTCCGGAAACAGCACCATTCTCTACGGCCTGACCCACTCGTCAAAGTGGCTCTTGCGTGACACGTTAGGCGATGATCAGCATACTCTGGCTCCGATTTTTCTGATGGAGACCCATCCGTGGCTTGTGTCTCCGTGGCACTGCTTTAGCCGTTGCATCAAGGAGGGTGGGATTGCCTTCGAGAAGTCCCATGGACGTGAGATATGGGATTTCGCATCCGAGAATCCAGAGTTCAACAAGCTCTTCAATGATGGGATGGAATGCACGGCCAAGATCATTCTGAAGGCGATCTTGTCGGAGTATAAAGATGGGTTCGATTATTTGGGGTCGTTGGTTGACGTGGGTGGTGGGACCGGTGGAGCCCTATCTGAGATCGTGAAATCTCATCCGCACATCAAGGGAACCAACTTTGATCTTCCGCATGTCGTCGCTACGGCACCAGCGTACCCGGGAGTGTCCCATGTTGGAGGCGACATGTTTGAGAGTATCCCAAATGCCGATGCTGTTTTCATGAAGGCAAGCTTTATCAACTGTTTTAGTTATTATTTTTTAACACTTTCTTTTGAAAAAAGAAAAGAAAAAAGAAAATTCTTTTGATAGATACAGATAAAATTACGTGAACCTCCACTGAGAATTGTATTACATATCTCAAAACAATGTAGTTTTTGTTCTTCTTATTCTAAACGTAAACTAACTATCCAGATTTGGGATCATTCTTTTACAACGAAATCGAGAAAAAAAATTTAAACTCAAGTTATAATTTTATTGAAGTTTATTTTTTTTTTTTGTAAAATTTAAATTTAAACTTGAGTTTAAATTTAAATTTAGAATTAAATCGAGTTTAAATTTTTCTTTTAACTCGAGTTCATAAGCACAAACTCAAGTTAATGAACAATAATTTTTCTATTCTTAAAAATATCATAATTTTTTCATTTTAATTCTGATTAAAATAATTTTTTTTCTATGCATTCATAACAAAAAAATAAATAAAATCACACACATATATCTTATTAAATTTTTTATCACTATTGAGTTTTTAATAAAATACTATCTAAATATAAATTTAAATTTAATTTATCTAAACACAAACTCAAAAAGATTCTTAATTCAAATCATAACTTAAATATGCACATTTAAACACAAACTTAAATTACAACTTCTACTCAAATTATTACTCAAACTCAACTTAAAATTATTACTTAAATCACCAACGAGTGGGTGAAATGAAAAGTCTTATTTCATAAAGCTTATCATGATTTTTGCTTCCTTATGCAACCACCACACTGACCACCATTAATAAATATAAATACTTTTTCAAATTGTCTGTGCTTTCCATATTGGCTTTCAGACCCATATTATTATTATTATTATTATTATTATATATTGTATATGCATGTAAAGTGCCCCCTCAGGAAAAAGAAATTTAAAGTGCGTTTAGAGTAATAATTTATATCATAATTTAAATTATAATTTGTGACTCGTTATAATATTTTTTTTAATAAAAATACACGTAAATTGAAAATAATTTTAGATCATAATTTTAAATTTATGAACCAAATGTCATCTTAACTTTACATAAAAATAAAAATAAAAGGCATGACATTCATACTCATTATTAATTCTTTATATATATGCAGTGGATAATGCATGACTGGGGAGATGAAGATTGTGTGAAGATCTTAAAAAATTGCCGGAAAGCAATACCAGAAAAAAGTGGGAAAGTTATTATAATAGATGTAGTTTTGAACCCCGAAGGCAATGGACTATTTGATGACACGGGGTTAATATTTGACCTTGTAATGGTTGCCCATGCTTCAGGTGGAAAAGAGAGAACTGAGAATGAATGGAAGAAGATCTTGAAAGAAGGAGGTTTCTCTCGCTACAAAATCGTCAAAATTCCTGCCTTAACATCCATAATTGAGGCCTATCCACAGTGATCACCTTATCATATATATTCAGTGAAGTGCGTACCTTAATTTGTCTAGATAAATTATTGGTGTCTCCATTATGATCGACCCATTAATGTTGGATAGTTTAGTTGGTCCTACTTGTTATATCATCTTAGTTCTAGTTTTTATTTTATTTGTGCCACATTGAAATAATTGAATCCCGGAACTGAGTGTGTCGGCTCACTAATAAATTGTGTTTATTTTTAGACCATGTTTAGTAACTTGTATTGTATTGTGTTATATTGTATTGTATTATCATAAGTTAATACGGTGTTTGATATCATGACGTATTATATAAAGGGCTAAATGTAAATTTTAATAATTTGAGGGTCAAAATGCAAAATTTTAATAACTTACGGGTTAAAATGCAATTTTTTAAAAATTTTAGGGTCAAAATATAATTTGTCAAACAATTTTGAGATCAAAAATGAAATTTTATTAAAATTTTAGGGTCAAAGTATAATTTTAAAACAGCTTTAGGGTCAAAATGTAATTTAGTAAAAGTTTTAGGGTCAAGATGTAATTTTTAATAAATATAAAATTTGTATTTTGCCCCTAAATTTTTCAATAATTATAGGCTCCCACATGATCTTATGTCAACCTGACCCCAACCTCTAGTCGTACCCGACCCCGACATGAATCATTGATCCACTATAAAATAATACAACACAATACGCTAAAAATGAGCTGTATTCAATAATTCGACATATACCGTATTAATTGATCAAACCTATTAGTTTATACAATACATTAGTCACACCAAATAGTGTATTATTGTATTATTATATAATACGGTACTCTTATACGGTCAAACAAACATGTCATTAATATGTATTTACTAAATCGTAAAAAAAAGTATTAGGGAAAGGTAATAGGATTTTCTAGGATTATAAAATAAAATAAAGTAAAAAAAATAAGGAACATTGATTTCCTTTTAAGTATTTACTTAATTATTAAATGGTGTAATAGAAAGCAATCACATTCCTTTTAGTGTTTACAAAAATTAAGAATAACAATATTATCAATGTAATCACTAATATGTTCTTTTATACAATTAAATGTTAATAGTTGACTATATAGTAATTAATTAAGAATAAATAAGTAAATTTCACATTCATTCTTTTTAACAGGATATCAATACCAACTAAGAAGATGCAATAATTGATATTTTTTTTAATGATACAAATGTTGGGTTTATTATCTCTTCATTACTGATTTTGTAAATACACATTTTATTAAATGGAAAAAAAAAAATCAATACTCAGTAACTTTTTTTTCCCTCGTGCGAAGTCTTTACACGAATTTATAAAATAGTTGAGAGGCTCCATCCTTGAGCCTCGGCAGAAAGAGAGTGGGTGATCGCATCCCTCTCATTCGGAGCCGGGCACTCATTTCCAACGCGTCGGAGAGAGATGGCAAAAAAAAAAAAAAATGTTGGAATGAAAAAATCATATGGCTCCGTTCTTTTCGCTAATTCGAGTTTAAAATTTGAGTTTTGCTACAGTAAAAAACTCTCAGAAACAGTCACATTTAACTTTTTTGCTACAGTAAAAAACTCTCACACAACATCACATCTCAACTTAAATTAAAAATTCGAATTAGTAAACCGAACGGACCCACAAATACCCTTCTTATTCTTCGACAATTACACGAATATCCTTCTTGCTAATGATCAATAAAGCCTTCCATATAATATAATATAAGAAATTTGTGTAAATTAGCAACTAGTGTTACATCACTAATATAGTGGACTCCACTTTTGGTTACAAAGATAATTTGCTTGCCATTTTATCGGTTCAACCTTGTATTGATTTTTTTTTTTTTTTTTTTTTGTTTTTTCTATAGGCGCCTTTTTTTTGCCCTTCTACACATATAATTTTATGGGATCTGTATTAGATCCAAAGCATCTCATTTGACTCCCTTATATAGTTATAAAGTTTTTCTTTTTCATATTTCACAGGAGAGATTTAAAACGACATTTCACTGAAGTACTTGCTTTTGTAGATTGAGTGTATCTGATCATTTGTTTTAACTTATTGGAGAAAACCTATAAAAGAACTAGAGACAAAAATTATGAGTAGATTGTTTTGATTGATGGTTAATTGTTGGAGGCGAATTTGCCTTTCTTTCACCTTCTTCTTTAGCTCTTTCAATTTTTGTCTCTATCGTGACCGGTGGTCACTAAACTCGTTTAAAACGTGGAAAATTTCAGTGCCCGCAAAAGAGGTATACTAATTACTACATACTGTTGAATATTATGTTACTGGAGAGCTCATTTTTAATTTATTGGGTAAATCACACACCAAAATGAGATCATTGGGATGTAAAGGACACATCTTGTTGGCGTTCTACGTCTCTCTTCCGTGCTCCCGTAGTTTTCTGGGTTTCCAACTTTTCTAAAAACAAGTACAAATATTTAGAGTTCGTTTAAAATTCGTTTTAAAATAATTTTTTTTATATGAAAATATTTTTAATTTTAAACAAAAATTATTTTTAAAAATACGTTTGATAGTTTTATTAAAAAATTATTTTCAGTATAAAAAAATTCATTAATGTCTATCTCTTTCCACTCGAGAGGGAAGAAAATGGAAAGAAAAAATAAAAAACGATTAAAAGTCGTTTTTCATTTCTCTCACATTTTACACTAAATTAAAAAATCATTTTCATTTCTGTTTTTTATCTTTAATTGTATCAAATGTTGTTTCTCACCGTTTTTATTTTTTCTTTCTTAAAAAATGTGAAAAATAAAAATAAAAATAACTTCAAAAACAGCCTTAATGTACTATTTGATGTATCAGCAAAATTTGACTATTAAATTAATGGACAAATTTTGCTGGCTTTGGTTGAAGATACGAATATCTCAAAAAAAAAAAAAAAAGAGAGAGAGAGAGAGAGAGAATTTTTATAGTTGGGTTGCTCTAATTTTCCACGTTCATTACCTGCCACGAATCTAAAAAATTAGCCATGTTGACAAATAAAATCTCTGTTTAATATTGTTTCAAATGGTTTCGTTTTTTTAGTCCCTTCTAAAGAAAGGTAGTCTCTATGAGATTATAAGAATACGACGGTCAAAAAGCAAATAATGTAGATCCATAAATTTCCCCCGTAACAGAAATAAAAAAAGATTTGATGATTCTGACAGATTTTTCTTTTGTTTACTTTTATAAATGAAGATAACGTATCTAATAATCCATTTGGACGTTGGTTTGGGAGAAGCATAGATCTCGAGGAATTTTATTAATTAATTGGATTGGCCGGCAACGTTGCAAATTAATGTAGTTAGATATAGACCAACGAGCTAGCCTAAATTTTTGTTTTGTTTTGATGTTTTTGGTAGCAACCGTTGAGATATATGCCTATAAATTAAATAAAATATAAATATTTTGTTGATTATTAATGAAATGAGTAATTTTTTTAATATTATTTTACATGCATGTGATGTTTTATAAATATAAAAATTCTTAGATCATTTTATATGTAACTTTAAACATTGTATATAAGTGTTATATGCAGAGGATAATGTTTGAAGTAAAATAATCTAACTTGTCCGTAATTATAAGTTAAAGTTGAGATCTTTAATTTAAAATTACTAATATGGTTCATTACATTCTGAATAAAACAGTATTATCCTAGATTGTTAATAATGAGATTATTAGAATGAGATTATTTTAGATGTAACTTTAAACATCGTATATCAGTGTTATATGCAGAGGATAATGTTTGAAGTAAAATAATCATTTGGGTACCATTGCTTATGTTTTTAGTGAAAGGTGGGATGTATTCGATGTGGTCGTCTTTTGGATCTTGTGAGTCCTAAAATAGTGATGAGTTGTAGTCAGGATGACTATGTGGGTCTTGTGAGGGCATAGTTGATGATGATGGTGGTGTGCAGAAAGTCATGGAGATGTCTTCATAATACCGACTGTTGCTGACAGTGAAGATGTTGTATGGTCCATAGATCTGAGTGGGTGGAGCTATTGCTGAGCTGGCAAATGCCTGGAGATGAGGCTTTGGCTGGTGACCATTCTCTTTGCATAGTACTTTGACGAGATGGTCTGTGATTTCTCTCAGCGACTGAGGATAGTTAAAACCGGTGTACCAGGCGTACACCTCATGCTGTGTGTATAGCTCTTGTGCTTGTGAGTTAAGCATACATGGATGGTGTAGGAGGAATATAGTGTGGACTTGTGGAATGTCTGATCTTTAATTTAAAATTACTAATGCGGTTCATTAGATTCTGAGTGAAACAATCTTATCCTAGATTGTTAATAATGAGAATATTGGAATGAAAGCATTTTATGTAATATGATACATAGGACCGGAACACGATTAATTATGAATATCTAATAAATTTTGTTATTAAATAGAATATTCAATACTAATCATTGATGGTCATATATGAATTAATCTTAATTATGAGTAATTAATAGACTCATATTTATGATATTATGTTCTTTGACATATTGAGTAATAACACATGTGAATAGTGTCAAAGTCTTGGTATATTGGGAGCATAATAAAATAAATAGCCGAGAATATTAATTTACAAGATGAAATCCATTCCTTTAAAATGAAGTAGATTAACGGTTCCCATAAGTGTTGATTCGGGGCTTAAATAATAATGGTGCTCAATTTTATGATTGGAACATAAAATATATTATTCATTAGAGGATCAATGGTACTTATAGAGAAAGATATAATTAATGAGGTCAACGAAAAATACCTAACTTTAATTATGAACAGTTTATGGAGGATTAATTCGTATGTAGTGACTATATCAATGGACAAACCAAATTTCGTGAACGTAATTGTTTTATAATTTTAAAAGTGCAATTCTAAATTTATAGTGGAGTAATTTGGAATTAATAATTTTGATATATTAATTATAAAAAATTATTATAGCTTAAAATTATAATGTTTATAGTTCCTCTCAACGGCTCTATAAAATTGATGTAAACTATATATTATATTAAGTTATGTCTATTAATTTAGAATTGAAAATTCTAAATACACATATTAATTAATTTAATTAATTAATATTAAAATTATTTTAAATTAATATAAATGAATCTAGTCACTTTTAGAAAGAGAAATTTTCTTGGACTCTTAAAGCTCCCATTTTTATCATTCAGAAAAATAATTTTTTTACCTTCTTTGGCCAATAAGATTCGGCCATAAAAAATTATATATATAAAAGAAAGGAGAGGAAACGTGGGGATGAACACGTTTCCTCAAATAAAAAAAAAAAGAGGGGAGAGTGAGTGGGGAAACGTGCAAGCACGTTTCCCAATTTAAACTTGCACGGAAAAGCGTGCCTTTAAATTAAGGAAATAAAAAGAGATTTCAAGAGAAAGAAAAAACAGGTACGGGAGAAGAACAGAAAAGAAAAGAAAAATCAAAGAAAGTATCTTGAGTGCAATTGCATATTTTTGAGAAAAGTAAATAATAATTATAGGTGATTTTCTTAATTTATTTATTTCATGTGTTGAAAAATTCATTAAAACGTTTACATATTTGAATTTATGTTACTTTGGAGATATATTGAGAAAGAGTCATGATATTCTTAAAATTTAAGAGCTTTAGACGGTATTGGAGGAGTTCAAGATTTACGTTCTAATCGAACGACAGTAAAATTCTTCCTCTTCTCTTTAATATCTTTGTAGTTAAATTAACATGAAATAACGATCGCATTAAATTATAATTTATGTGATTCGATCGATATCACGTTTCTGCACAAATTTTTTTGAAAAATCTGTTTGAGAAACTAACAATTAGTATTAGACCGGTCTTTATTTTATGCTAATTTAACATTTGATTTGTGTGATGGTTATGTTTTGTGCGAATGGATTGATTGTAAATTTTTTCGATTCCATGAAATTAATTTTTTCTATTTTATTTTGATTAGATTAATTGTAAAATAAGAATTAATATATAATTTTATTTTTCTTCAATGGTGGACGGGTCATCATGAAAGAGTTCTAGCTATTTCGTTTTTAGAAAAGCTCCAAACTATTAAAAAAAAGGATGGAGTTGCCGGCGACCATACGGTCTCCGGTGACAGTCGCCGGCGAGAGAAGGGCCGCTGCCATGGTCGAACATCGGCCATGGCATAACTGCAGCAGCCATGAGGCTGCTGTAGGTGACTGCACCTTCAGGTGTAGTCATGGGCTTGTGAGAAGCCCAAGCCCAAGACGGGCATCTCTGCTCAATCAGTGAGTCAGAGACAATGTAATCTGGGCCAGATTTTCAGCCGGCCTAGATCACCCAAAGAGCTGGCTTTAGGCAGCCCAATTCCTTTTTATTTTTATTTTTTTTAGGAAATAGTAGAAAATAGGTCAATGTGAAAAACTTAAAAAAGTATATAGGTTAATTTTTAGTTATAGAAATTAATAGGCCATAACTTGTCAAGTTATGGTTCATAACTAGATAAGTTATGGATAAACTTGTCAAGTTATGGTTCATAGCCAGACAAGTTATGGATAATTATGGAACTAGACTAGTTATGGATAAAAACAGTAATTTGGCCTATTTATTAAATTATGTAAACTATTGACCTATTAATTTTAATTCATCTCAAGTCTTGACCTATTTCCCTCTTTCTCCTTTTTTTTTATTATTGGTTTTTGAAATCAATTTTTTTGGAGATTCACCAAAAGGAAGACATGAAGATGGAGAATTACAAGAAGACCCATTCTGATGTAATTTTATTTTTATTATTATTTTGGGGTCGTAACTCTTAGGTCCATGGAACTCAGTTAAGTTTTTTCATTTTACTTGCATGTCTTTATTTATTTATTATAATTGATAATAATTGTATTGCCATGCATCTAACATGCATCATGCGCATTAATTACTTATTTTAATTTTAAAATCATTTTAATAAATTAAGTTAATTAAATGCGCCAAATTGTTGAGTTTAACGAGATTAAATTCAAAGTTATCCAATTTAATAAGATTAAATTTAAGGTTGTTAAATTTAATGCGATTAAATTTATTAAATTTAAATAAATCAATTAGCAAAATAAATAGCCAAGAATATTAATTTACAAGATGAAATCCATTCCTTCAAAATGAAGTAGATGAACAATTTCCATAAGTGTTGATTTGGGGCTTGAATAATAAGAGCGCTCAATTTTATGATTGGAACATAAAATATATTATTCATTAGAGGATCAATGATACTTATAGAGAAAGATATAATTAAAGACGTCAATGAAAAATACCTAACTTTAATTATGAACAATTTATGGAGGATTAATTCGTATATAATGACTATATCAATGGACAATACAAATTCTGTGAACATAATTGTTTTATTATTTTAAGAGTGCAATTCTAAATTTATAGAGAAGTAATTTGGAATTAATAATTTTGATATATTTATTAAAGTGTTAATTAATTATAAAAAATTATTGAAGCTTAAAATTTTAATGTTCATAATTACTCTCAACGGTTATATAAGATTGATGTGAACTATATATATAATATATTGAGTAATGTTTATTAATTTAGAATTAAAAATTCTAAATACACATATTAATTAATTTGATTAATTAATATTAAAATTATTTTAAATTAATATGAATGAATCTAATAAAAGAGGGAACTTTTCTTACACAAGCTTCTCATTTTTCTCATCCAGACAAATGAACTTTTGTTACCTCTTTTGGCCAATAAGATTCGGCCATAAAAAATAATAATAAAGAAAAAGATATATATATATAAAGAAAGGAGAGGATACGTGCGGATGAGCACGTTTCCTCAAATAAAAATTAAAAAAAAGAGGGGAGAGTAGTGGGGAAACGTGCTTGCACGTTTCCCAATTTAATCTTGCACGGAAAAGCGTGCATTTAAATTAAGGAAATAGAAAGAGATTTCCAGAGAAAGAAAAAAGAGACACGGGAGAAAAACAGAAAAAAAAAAGAAAATTGAAGGAAAGTATAAGGAGACGTTTGGTTGGAGGATTTAAATTATGTGATTTAAATTATTTTTAATTTATGTGTATTTTTTATGAGAGAAAATACTGTAGTGAACCACAAATCATGATTCGAATCAGGGAACGAATCCCTCTACCAAACGGAACCTTAGTGTATTATATACTTTTAAAAAAGTGAGTAATAATTATAGATAATTTTTTTAATTTATTCATCTCATATGTTATGTTGAGAAATTCATTAAAACGCTTATACATTTAAATTCATGTTAATGTAGATATACGTTAAAAAAGAACTGTCGTGTTCTTAAAATTTAAGAGCTCAGACGGTGTTGGAGGAGTTCAAGATTTACGTCTTAATTAAACGATTGTAAAATTCACCTTTTTATCTTTAATATCTTTGTAGTTAAATTAACATGAAATAATAATCGTATTAAATTTTAATTTATATTATTCGATCGATACCAAGCTTCCGCACATTTTTTTTTTAAAACCGGTTTGAGAAACCAACAGCAACACCATTAGGGGGCGTTTAGTACGAAATAATAAGTAGGAATCATATTCTTGGGAAAGTGATGAGAGATAATATGATTCCTATGAATAATACATTACTGTGTTTAGTTCTATATAGGAATCTTGTCTCAAATTTTCAGAAATAATACATTACTGTGATTGGTTATATACAAGAATCTTGTCTCTAATTCTCAAAAATAATACATTAATGTGTTTGATTGTGCATAGAAATATTGTGTATTAAAAAAACATATATTTTTTTAAATAAATTACAATTAGCAATAATAATTTTTATGTTAGTTTGCTTCATCAGATTATGTTATACCTACATCTTCATCAGATTATGTTAAGTTAAATTTGTTATAGATTTGGGGATAAAAAAAAACCATGCTCATACAGATTCAGCAAGGAGAAAAGAGGAAAAAACCAAGAACTTAACATCACAGATCGAAAAGAATTCCTACCTATATGTCTTCATCAGATTATGTTAAGTTAAATTTGTTATAAATTTGGGGATAAAAAAAAAACCATGCTCATACGGATTCAACAAAGAGAAAAGAGGAAAAAACTAAGAAATTAACATCACATAAAAAAGAATACCGCCTATACAATCCATCAATGATACAAATGAGATTGATGCCGGTATGAAATTGAAATCAAGATTAAAAAAAAACTAACATAGATCGGCAACGACAGAGAAAAGTCAAGCAGACAAAAGAAGAAAAAAGGAATCATATTGGTGGTGGCGGCAGAGGAAGGTTTGGCAATGGCGTGGTGGATTGGAAGGCAGAGACGACGTGATCGATGGAAGACTGGACGAGAGAGAGGTGGCTGGGTCTGTGAAGAGATGAGTGAGAGAGAGGTTATGGCTAGATATGTTCGGCGACCAAGTGGTGGATCAGAAGGCGGCGACGTCGTGGTGCATCGGGCGGCGGTGGCGACGACAGAAGAGATTCAATAGGCTGGACGAGATAGGCGTATGGGCTGAGAAGAAATGAGTGAGAGAGATTTTGATTCCCGTGATATTACTTTTTTAAGAAAGTGAATAACACCTTATTAAATGAGTTTAGGATTATTTTAAAATGTGATAATGTGAATCCCATTAATTTTACTTTCTTGAGTTTTAAAATGGTTTAATAATTATGCCAAATATAAAAATTAGATTTTCATTCCCACCTTCAAGATTATCCCATACCAAACGCCCCATAAGTTCTATAAATGTTTACACGGCCGGGATAGCAAAGCCATGCATGTTCTACTATAATCCCAGCGTATAGCAACAGGGAAAGAACGGAAATAAGCACTATGGAATCAAACGAGGCAAGTCTGAGAGACCGAGAGGAGATATGGAAGTACATGCTCAACCACGCGGATTCCATGGCCATCAAATGCGCCGTGGAGCTCCGAATACCCGACATTATTAACTCCCACGGCGGCCCAATGAGTTTGGCCCAAATAGCCGCCGCCATTCCCGACACTTCATCTCCAGACATCTCCTGCCTCGCGCGCATCATGCGTCTTCTCGTCCGCCGAAACATTTTCACGGCACATCAATCATCAGACGGCTCCGGCGACAGCACCACTCTCTACGGTCTGACCCACTCGTCCAGATGGCTGTTGAGTGACACTTCTGACGATCAACTAACTCTGGCTCCTTTTTTTCTGATGGAGACCCATCCGTGGCTGATGGCTCCATGGCACTGCTTTAGCCGGTGTGTCAAAGAAGGTGGGAGTGCCTTCCAGAAGGCCCATGGACGTGAGATATGGGATTTCGCATCCGAGAATCCAGAGTTCAATAAGCTCTTCAACGACGGAATGGAATGCACGGCCAGGATCATTTTGAAGGCGATCTTGTCAGAGTATAGAGATGGGTTCGGTAGTTTGGGGTCGTTGGTTGATGTGGGTGGTGGGACCGGTAGGGCCTTGTCAGAGATCGTGAAATCTCATCCGCACATCAATGGAATCAACTTTGATCTACCGCATGTCGTCGGGACGGCACCGGTGTACCCGGGAGTGTCCCATGTCGGAGGTGACATGTTTGAGAGCATCCCAAATGCTGATGCTGTCTTCATGAAGGTAAGCTTAGCTACTGATCTTAATAAACTATCAACGGTTTTATCAATATTTCTCTGTTTTTCTTTTGTTTTTCTTTTTTTTTTTTCATTGCTCTTTTGATAGATAGAGATAAAATTACGTTATAACCACTACTGAACTTTACCTAGCTCAAAACAATGTTGTTTGTTTGATGTTCGGAGAAAACAATACTGTTTTGTTGTTCTTGTTTTACACGTAAACTAGCCACTCCCTAAATACATAGTTCAAAAAATCAGGACGTGAAACGAAAAGTGTAGTTTGAAAAAGCATATCATATTTTTCCTTCCTTAATTATACAGCCACCACCCTTCGTAAGAAATTTATTTTTTAATTTAACTATGTATATATGCTCGCTATTGTGTTTAATAAAAAATATATATTATATATATATATATATATGAGATGTAATGTGCCCGTTCGTACTTTGGAAAATTTCAACTTTACAAAAAAAAAAAAAAAAAACGAAAAGCATGTGCATGACATACATACTCATTAATTCTTTACATGCAGTGGATTATGCATGATTGGGGCGACGAAGACTGCGTGAAGATCTTGAAAAATTGTCGAAAAGCGATACCGGAGAAAAGTGGGAAAGTTGTTATAGTAGATTTAGTTCTGAACCCAGAAGGCAATACCCTATTTGATGACATGAGCTTAATTTGGGACCTTGTAATGGTTGCCGATGCCTCGGGTGGAAAGGAGAGAACTGAGAACCAGTGGAAGAAAATCTTAAAAGAAGGTGGTTTTCCTCGCTATAAAATCATCAAAATTCCTTCCTTAACATCCATAATTGAGGCTTATCCAGAGTGATCAGTTCGTCACATTTTGGTCAAAGTACCAAACTTTAATTTGTCTAGACATATTATTGGTGTCTCCAATACGATATCATATGTATTCTATTAAGGAATAATCCGTGGGTCTTACTTGTTATCATAAACTTTGTTTTTAATATTTTATTTGTGCGTGTGCGTGTTGAAATATAATGTTGGATCCGTCTCAAAGTGCGTGGTTAACTAATTAATTGTGTTTAGTTTACATAATGTTTGTAAATAGTTGGTCAGAGAGAGGGGTGATCTACAGTAATTAGTCCCTCTCATTTGAAGCTGGGGTTGGTGATACTCCTTCAGGAAAAAAAAAAAAAAAAAGTCTTCATTTTGGTCGCCGTAATTCAACGTTTGAAAGAGAGACATGACAAAGCGAAAAAGAAGGTATGCAGTGAAAAAATCATGTAGCACGAGTTGATTACTCCTATTAAAAATAAATAATTATAGAGTACCATTCTTCAACAACACGAATATTGATAACTCTAAAAATTAGAGTTATTTTAAGTATTTTTTAGTTTGAAGTGTGTTTAACCAAGAGTAAATTTGTTTATTTTATTTTATTTTTTTGTGTTCTATCTTCAATTCTTATTCTTATGCTCTGCCATGCTAAAGTCAAGATATGTGCTAATTTTGAGGTGTATTTGAAAAGAATTGAATTAAAAAAGACTGAGTTGTATTCTAAGTTTAGGGGCGTAATTTTAAAAAAGTTGGAAGCAAAATGCTGTAGCAAATATCCTTCTTTAAGGACAGGCAAATAATGCCATTTCCATATAAATTAAGAATTTTGGACAAATTAACAAACATATTGTTACGTCACAAAGTATAGTGACTCCACTTTGATTGATAATGTGCCATCGTATCGGTTCAACGTTGTCTTGATTCATTTGTGATTTTTTATGAGCTGTTTCTTTTGACCTTTTGCAAATATAATTTTATGGCATCGTTCATTTTATCAATTTGAGTGTTCAGTTTTAGATTTTTATAGTAAAAAGTTTTTAAAAAATGTCACATCTTACAGAAAATGTCACATCTCAATTCAAATTCAAAATTCGAATCCGCAAAGTGAACGAGACCTGTAAGTCCATTATTAGCTCCCAAGCACCACAATATAAACTCCCTTAAAATTTTTCATATTTAACAAGGGAAGATCTAAAACAATATTTTACTAAAGTTGCTTTTGCACATTCATACGTACAATATTTAATTAATTTGTTCTAATTATTTATCAGAGCAGTACAGATATAAGAAGTAGAGAAAAAATATGAATGGATTGTTTGATTGATAGATTAATTATTCGTGCTCTCTCTCTCTCTCCTTTTCTTTCTTTCATGATCTCTTTCAATTTTTGCCTCTATCATTGTCGGCACTCACTAAACTCGATTATTACAATGTGCAATATATATTTCAATAGTTGAAACTCTAAATTTTAAAGATCATGTTACTATAGAGCCTAATGTTCTTGGGTACTAAAATATCACACACCAAAATGTATTCCACTAATCAATTCATGATATTATTAATGAGGATGTAAGGAATACATCTTGTTGCCGTTCTAGGTCTCTATTCCGTGTTCTATAGTTTTTTAAGGTGTCGAACTTTTCTATAACCAAGTGTATACAAATATTTTACTATGTTATGTGTCAGCAAAATTGCACTATAAGAGTTAATGGAGAAATTGTCCAGGCTGGCAGTTGAAGATATGAAATTTAAAATTAATAATTAAAAAATTATATGAAATTTGTATAATGCGTTCGGTTGGGCTATCCAATTGGAGTTGGCCCAACTCAGAGACATTTTGGGGTGTAATATTACGTTCGGTAACCCAACTTCGAATCAAGAACTCGAGTGTGAATTCGAGTTATGAAACATCACCTACCCCTTGAATTCTAATTACTCGAGTCTATCTGCTACAGTGCAGATTCTCTGCAGAAGCACGTTTTCACACAGGCATGGGTTACCGTTGCTTGTCATCCTTCCTTCCTTTCCCATCTGCTTACTGCTTGGCTCACGAGAAAGGAGAAGCTTTCTCTTCTCCCACCATCTCCCATCTGCAGCCTGATTTTTCAGTCGGATTCCCTGAGAAAGGTGGTTCATCATAGTTCTGTCGCTGGGCTTGTGCAAATCAAGGGGGCGTGGTTTTTCCCTTCATTGTTCACCCATAAATCCCTCAAAGACCACCCCTATTCCAGATTCTGAGCCAAAGAACAAACCCAGATCCATTCCCTCGTCTTCCCCGTCTTCGTCAGTTTTCAAAACGGAGACAATTGGTCCGAATAGAGTGAAGCGGCGTCTTCAATTGGCCGTAATATTGAGTCGATGTAGTGTGAGACGTCATTTTCGAGTGCGTAGCCGTTGTCTCTGGTACAAGTGTTTCCATTGTCGTTGCCGTTGGCGAACTTCTTTAGCAGATCCGTCGGGGTCGCGTTTGGGCGTTATCGAAGTAGAGCATCCGGTGTCATCTACAGGATCAAACACGGTAAATACTCTCCCACTTTTGCTTGCCATTTGATTTTTGACTCCATTACGAATATGTCTTGGCCCCTAATATTGGGATTGAAAGCGTTTGAAGCTTATAGTTAAGTTGTGGAAGTGATATACTATCAGCTGTGCATTTTTTTCCTGATATACTATCAGCTGTGCATTTCTGTTTTCTACTCTTGAGATGATAAAGTGGACCGTTTTTTTTTTCCTGAGTGGCACTTTTCTATAGATGATAAGGGAGAAATTTTCCATGTGAGTTGGCGTGATTTTGTTTAGCTTGAGAAAACCGCAGAAAAAAAAAACGAATGCGAGAGTGAAGGAAATTTGTAATTTATTCGATTTTAGAAAGTTCACTAGGCTTGTTGAGTGAATTTGGTAGTTGCTTCTGAGGAAATTGTTCAAGCGAAAGCAAATAATGAAATGTTTTCTTCTATTGTTTCTAATGTTTGTTTACTTTGATGCAATTGTATTAGTCGAAACCTTGCTAGTGAAAGTGAACATCTATCTCCTCGAGTTCCTTTGTTAACAAGTCCATCTGCAATGAAGTTTAGGACAATAAGAGGTATGCAAATCATCTAGAAGGATAAGGAGGAAGTTACTATTCTATATTGCTGACAATTAAGGAACCCAACAATGCCACATTTTAGGCAGATTAAAAAAACTATAGAGCTTGTGGCAGATGGAGATTATTAGGAAGTATAATATTTGGAAAACAATATTGGTTGTGTTGTCTACATCTTTGATGTAGCTACCACAGCAGCAAGATCCTGATGCCCAGTTGTATGTGTTCCACACAGAATGTTGTAGTAACTTACCCTGGCTAATCATCTCCTCTAGCCACATCACAGCTTCATATTGAGTCGTCAGCTTCAATTTGCCCTCACGGCACATCCCATCAACTAAAACACCATAAGTTTCCTCGTCAGCAACACAACCCATTTGCTTAGCCATCTTTTTTAAGTACCCAATAACACATGCTGATTTGCCTCCTTCACAATGGCCTCTCACCACAATATTATAAAATTTAACAGTTGGGACACAGTTTGCCTTCACCATCACCACTTCAACAACCTTCACTGCATCTAATTCTCCTCTCCTCTCCTTCACAATGGCCTCTCACCATAATATTATTGGTGTCTCCATTATGATCGGCCTGTTAATGTTGGATAGTGTTAGTTGGTCCTACTTGTTATATCATCTTAGTTCTAGTTTTTATTTCACTTGTGCCACATTAAAATAATTGAATCCCGGCACTAAGAGTGTCGGCTCACTAATAAATTGTGTTTACTTTTAGGCAATGTTTGGTAACTTGTATTGTATTGTATTGTGTTGTATTATCATAATGTAATACGTTGTTTGGTGTCATGACGTATTGTATAAGGGGTCAAAATGTAAATTTTAATAATTTGAGGGTTAAAATGAAAAATTTTAATAATTTAGGGGTCAAAATGCATTTTTTTTAAAAATGTTAGGGCCAAAATATAATTTTTCAAAAAGTTTTGGGATAAAAATGAAATTTTATTAAAATTTTATGATCAAAGTATAATTTTAAAAAAGTTTTAGGGTCAAAATGTAATTTTGTAAAAGTTTTAGGGTCAATATGTAATTTTTAATAAATATAAAATTTGCATTGTGTCTCTTAAATTTTTCAACAATTATAGGCTCCGGCATGACCCTATGTCAACCTGACCCGACCTCTAATTGTACCCAACCCCGACATGAATTATTGATCCACTATAAAATAATACAACACAATATGCTAAAAATGAGTTGTATTCAATAATATGACATAGACCGTATTAATTGATCATCCGTATTAGTTTATACAATACCTTAGTCACACCAAATAGTGTATTATTGTATTATTACACAATACGGTGTTCTTATATGGTCAAACAAACATGTCATTAATGCGTGTTTACTAAATCGTAAAAAAAGTATTAGGGCAAGGTAATGGGATTTTCTAGGATTAGAAAATAAAACAAAGTAAAAAGAATAAGGAACATTGATTTTCTTTTAAGTATTTACTTGATTATTAAATTGTGTAATAGAATGTAATCACATTCCTTTTAGTGTTTACAACAATTAAGAATAATAATATTATCAATGTAATCATTAATATGTTCTTTTTGTTGGTTTTTCAAACTAAATTTTCAAACAAATTGTGCGGAAGCGTGGTATCGATCGAATCACAAAAATCAAAATTTAATGCGATCATTATTTCATGTTAATTTAACTACAAAGATATTAAAGAAAAGAATGATGATTTGACCGTCGTTCGATTAGGACAAAAATCTTGAACTCCTCCAACACCGTCTTGAGCTATTAAATTCCAAGAACACCATGATTCTTTCTTAATGTATCTCCTGATTAACGTGAATTCGAACTTGTGGGCGTTCTAATGGGTTTCTCAACACATGAGATGGATGAATAGGGAAGCCACCTATAGTTATCACTCACTTTTCTCAAAAGTATATGATGGCACTCAAAAAATTTTCTTTGGTT